TTGCTGCGGGGGGGGTATTACTTTATAGCACCACCTCCAAACCCATGTATTTTTAACTGTTTGCACTATGCACGGGAGATTTTCCACCCATCGTACTTCCTTATATACAACAAGTTACTGTCATGCTAAGAAAGAGTTAAAGATCTTCCACTATTCCACTTTTATAGGTTACATAGCGTCTACGCAAATGTCGCAATAATTTGTTTATAGTCATACAGACTTGGGTTATCTCTGCATCGCGCTCGCTCTTGGCATGGACTAATTGGCTAACCAAGCAAAACAACACGTCTAACCACATCAAACACCCCTACCAGACTTCAGTCGGAAGCGTTTCCGAACAAAAATAGGTGAGCACAATAACTACATTAAGAAGGCGAAGCTGTGACAGCCTGACACTCGGTTCTGAATGTAACTGCGTTATCCCGTCGGTTGGTAAGCCCTGAGACCACGAGTGTTTGTGCGTAATGATAGGTCCAAAACGTCGTTGCTTACTTATAGTGAGCAACACAAGCGTTGGGCCTAAGCCGGATCGACAGCCAGTTCTCATGCGCTCGTGGCTCATTCAAGTCAGGTCGTTGGTGTTTCGATTTGACTCAGTAGTATGCTAGAATGACATCGTCGTCTGTCATGTGCTGCAATTAAGATTCTTGTGTTTATGTATGAACCCACAACGATCATCATGCCTTCAGAGTGAAGAATCTTTTAAAGAATGCTCCGTGCCTTGAGAGAGGTTGGCTGGTTTATAAAATTCACTATGTATAATCTCTGCTCCCTTCTCGAGGCTTGGTTGCTGCGTAACTGATGTACCCCTATTCTTCAATGAAAACAAATCCAGTTTACTGTTTACTGTTTTCAGAGTGCCTTAGGAACCATTGGTAAACGAAATTACCTTGAACAGTTTGATGAGCTCCATCGGTGGGCCGCATGTTCATGTATGCAAGCATTGCTTTTCTGGTGCCAGATGGTTCTCAAGGCTGCAATAATCTGAGCAAAGGCAGACTTAATCCGAAATCAATTAAGCCGCATCTTTTTTCGCATAGACATAAATCTGCCTGTAGGGCTAAGTAGCATGCATTCCCAATCGGTATGATTAAAATAGAGGGTGTTGTTCGAAAAATATGTCAGGTTTTACTCGCCGAGTTTTATATAACTTAAAAAAGCTTCTTTTCGGACGGAATAAAAAAGGCGGCGATGGAATTATCCCATAACAGTGTTTGGGTTCATTGGGATTACACAACGAGAAGGAGAGAGATAGAGGGGTGGACAGAGTGATACGATAAGTGTCGGAGGTCGACGGAAAGACATATGGCTCGTAGTGTTAAATAGCGAGATCGGATAACTGATCAGTTGCCCTACAGACGTATTATGGATTAATTATCTTTGGTTTGGGAAGAACGCGGAGAGGTGGGAGAAGGAGGTCAGTAAACTGTACTCGCAAACCCTCGTAGTGAGCGTCTAGGTGGACATGGTGGTCGATACTGCCTGTGCTAGACTACCGAAT